CCTTTAAGAACAATTTACTTGCTTAAAGAACATTTAGGTGCTCAGACAAATATTTTGAGCAAGCCTTTATGAACATTTTTTCTCCCTTTAAGTTAAAGGAATTTTCTTCTCCCTTTCTTTCTCTCATATTTGTGTATATCCTTTTACCTTTTTTTGTATATGTAAATAAACATTTTCTTCTCCTGTGTTACACCGCAAGCAGGAGCTTGAGTCTTTATTCTTCCATCCAAAAGAGAAAATTGTCCACTCTAATCTTTCAAGATGTTGTTGCTTTTATTGGTTTCTGTCGCATTTAACCATAACCCTTTCATATGGGACAAATTTCCCACACCATATCGTCCAGACTGCAAATAACCTACTCTGTACACTTTAGTTAAAATACTATGGAAGCTTCATCATTGGACTTAACCAGTAACTTTTCAACACCTTCGCCAGACATGTGAACTGAACTTTCAAACTGTAGACTTACATGCCAACTTAATTTACATGGACACTAATTTTAACATTTCGTCAAGGTTATTATTTATCTAGATCTTCTAGTCAGTCAGTATTCCTCAATTTACTTAATTCTGCCTCCATTACTTGATTTATTGTTTGTTCATGTTCCTTTATCCAAACATATACTTTTCTATACGATTTGGCTCGCAATCAGGAGAGAGAGAGAGAGAGAAAGAGAGAGAGAGAGAGAGCACAATGGGAAACTACTCTATGATTGCTTCCAAGAAGTCATGGTAATACACAGAGAGTAAAGGAAAATGTGGAGTGCCATGATTGCATATATCCTGAGAAGGCATGGCGTTAAAAAAATTAGTTGCATTAGCATTCTTATTGACATAATTGTAACTGTTGGGTAAAATATTTCTTGTTGATTTATATTTTCAACTTGGAAATATTCTTTTGTTACATATAAGTATTTGTAGTGAGTCTCGATAAAAAACATAAAATATAAAAACAAAATATATAAACAAAAATAGGAAATTTGTTTAACAATTTTGGAGGGAAAAGTCCCCGATTCTTCTGAGCCTACCAAATCTCCATAAATTTGGAGAATCTTTGCCTATTTAGCAGTGAGAATTCAGCCCACTGTCTGTAAGGTCAACGATAGGGAGCTAAGTCAACTTCAGAACCACTTTCAAACAAAGAAGAAATTCCTGATGGGCCGGGAAGACAGACCGTCAGCCTACTATTAAAAACCAATTGAAAACTGCATCCCTTCACCACTCCTTTTGTTGTGCCCACTGAACTTCTGTCATCAACCTACGAACTCACTCAACTGCAAGATTCCTATATCTACCAACAATTTTCCTACTCTACAAGAACTGTGAGTGTTTCTAAACCTTAACAAAATTCTACTCACTTAAAGAACTTTTTATGTGCTCAGAGAAATATTTTGAGCAAGCCTTTTTTTCTGTTATAAACATTTTCTCTCCTCTTAAAGGACATTTTCTCTTTTCCCTTTCTTTCATTCCTAATTGTCTTTATCTCTTTACCCTTTTTTTTCTGTATATGTAAATAAACACTTTCTTCTTTTATTGTTACACACCGAGCAGGAGTTTTTTCTTTATTCCTCCGCGCTTAAAAGAGAGAGTTTGTCCACTCTAATCTTACTGTTTTTTACTCGCGTTTTGTCGCAATTTTTTAACCTCAGCCCTTTGATGCGGGAAAGCCGGGACAGATTTAACTGCATTTAAAAAAAATTAGTTGCATTTGTATTCTTATTGACATAATTGTAACTGTTGGGTAAAATCTCTCTTGTTGATTTATATTTTCAACTTGGAAATATTTTTGTTACATATAAGTCTTTGTAGTGAGTTCTGATAAAAAACATAAAATATAAAAACAAAATATATAAACACAAATAGAAAAAATTAAAATAAAGCATTTATGCTTTCCTTTAAAAACTTATCTCTTTTTTTCTCTCTTTCTATATTTTTCTCACCCTAGAAGAAGGCAACTCCCAAATAAAAAAGAGAAAGGAGAAGGAGAAAAGACTGAACCCAGCCAAAAACACTGAAATTTTGCAGGATCCGAGCTTATGTTTATGACAAAAAAATATCTAAAATCAGTGTGGCTCCACATATAACTTCCATTATAAAAAAAAATAAAAATAAATGAAAAAATTGACACAAGAAGCTTTTGATGTACGTGCCAAATTCTCAAGCCTGGTCAAAAGGGATAAAACCTAACACTCCTGGAGATATACAGATTGGAATAAAATGACATGAGCAGATAGAAGAAAAGAACACAACTGTATGAGACATGTGAAGAAAAAGTTCATTTCCACTCTGTTCAGGACTAAGAACAGCAGATTGAAATCTGATTTAGTTTCTGACATTACTACTACCCCTATCATGATCTGAATTTTAACTACTAAAATGGACATTTCTTTAGCCTACTATCAATATCCGCCTTCTTAACGAACATTTTGCCACGCCAAATACCAAAAGATTCACTCATAAGTTAAAGGAAAATAAGTAAAAATATATTTTTATTTTTAACCCTCAAGTCAGTTCATTTTATTCTCAGTTTCCAATAAAATAATTATCCACCACCTATTGACACTGGCAACGTTTTGATATAAACCCACATGCCACATGTTCTTCAAGGTCAGGGTTTAATTTAAATGCATAAACTCATCTAGTCCTAATAATATTTATGTTTTGAGGAATAGGAGTGAATTCATTTTCTTCAAGTATCATTATTTCATCACTTTATTTGCTTCGGTAGATATCATAGCTCCTTCATACACTTTAGGAATGTCTTTCATTCTCTAGTAATAAACTGTTCACTTTTTGAGTCTAACTTCTTTTTATTATGTATGTAAGCAAAACATTTGTGTGATGAAGTATTGTAATTATTTACATTGTTTGGACTATTGTCCTCATCTTTATTGCACTATTCTCAAAATTTTGTCTGTTGTACGCTCCGGCCTTCTTCAGGTGATTGGAATTTTGAACTGAACCCTTTATTTCATCCACCGAGTTAGACTATTCTAGTTCCTCATGCCATGACTCTTCCGGATGTCTCAGTTATCTCCCTTTAACTCAACTCTCCAAGTTTTTGTTCACCATTGCAGTAGCCAGGTATTGAACTCACAACTTTAGCATCCTGCTACCACTCATTTATTAATGTCGATTTTTGTGCAAAAAGCAGATCACAGAGGTTATCCAATTATCATACATAATTTCAGAAAACCTCAACTTTTAATTGGTCAATAAACACACAAGTGGGTGTTGCAATCCACCCACATACAAGTCTTTTTCCAGCGCGTGACCAAATCAAGTTTTCCCGCCAAAAATTAGAAATGCTTCCAGGAGCCAATCACGTGATTACGTTGATTATAAATACCAGAGACGAGTTTGTTCTTCTCTACTCTACTCTCTCTTGTGATTTCTTTGCTTTAAAAAATGTAGCTATTTAAGAAATCGCATTCCAACCCCGGTTCAGGTGGATGCTATTGAAAACATATTCACACACGCACACATACATGTACGTACGAAACTTTCCAAACTTTATTACGAACATTACAAACAAACATATATGAACTTTCAACTCTCTCAGTGATCATTTTGAGCGGCAAGTTCATTCAATTTTTTATGAGCACAGATAAAAAATTTTTCATAAGTACAAACTTTAAATTCCAGTCGAAGGGAAGTAACTCCTATGCTTGTACCTCATTACAGACATATGTATATTTTTGTTTGTTATCAAAACCGTTTTGCGTTTCTTCTTATTGTTTCATATTTTGTGGTATTTTGTGTTAAATATAAATTCGAAAGGTCACACTAACTAACCGGCCTCTATACAACTCTTTGGGTCAAACAACAGTCTGCTGAACAATGTAAATAAAAGTTAACTTAAAAAGTGTGCCTGTTACTTTGAGGGGGGAGCATTTTCAAAAATGTTTGTGTTCTCGGATTACAAATTAAAGAAGTTCTATTTGCTGTTGCAAGAAAGCTTGTTGTTGTGTTTTAAAACACATGTCTCCTAGCATTATTTTTCCCGTAAAACAATTATTGCGGACTCGAATGTAAGTCCGAGCAATAAATAGGTAACAAAAAAAAAAAAAAAACATTATAAAACAAACGACAATGCATGTTTACAATTTACATTCACAATACAAGAATACGTTTACGGTAGTGACTTAGTTTTATTGCAATTTTTATTTTACGATTAAGAGCAGATTTTCTGTAACTGGACTTAAAGTTTACCCCCCACATACAAACACACACACCACCATCAACAACAACAACTAAATAAAAATGATGATTTAAAAATTCTACGTTGAGGACTTGTCTTTTAATTTATGAACATAAAAAAGAAGCATTACACAAAAAAGAAAAAGAATTTCTCGCAATTTCATAAAATTATATAAGCGATGTAATTATTTATAAATATTTTTCCAAAATTTTATTAAAATCTGACAAATACCTGATATTTTTAAAGAATTTTCAAAACAATGTTTTTTCACCGCAAGAAAACGTACAAATTTTCCCGTAAAAAAGTATGGTCCCACGTTGACGCTAGAAAAAAATGAATTTTTTACAAAAATTTCGAAGTTTCCAAAAAGGATTAAAAAATAATTTTCACGTCAAAAAATTATTTTATCTTTCATCTTAAAATGACACAAAGATTTTGATGATAAAACTTAGCTAACAAGTTTGTGGCATTATTTTTTTCATCGCGTATGGACCAGCAGCTGAGATGAAAAAACGCTATGGTAGCGTGCACGTTTTCAGCTTAGTAACAATGTTTAAAAACGATATTGGAAATTCAGTATGCAATGATTTATAAATTTATTCACTTTGAAATCTTCTAGCATTTCTTACTTGAGAATAAGCACATTTTTTTAAACTTTTCAAATATAAATTTTCTTCCTTGAGAAAATGTGTGGATGTTTTTAAAGATTCGACATTCTACAATTGACACCGCTAACTTCCTGTTTTTTTTTTTTTTTTTTAGTCTTTCATAGGTCGTGCTTTTTACTCCTCACGCTGACGATGGTGGCTGCTTTTCCAATCGCAAAACTTGCGGCTTTGGCCATCAAACAGATCAGTAAACCTTTGGCAAATGCCATAAAGAATAGGGCAAAAGCACATCCTTTTGTTAGGAAATATGTCTGTATACCACCTGCCCAATGTAAGTAGTAATTGTGTAAAGTGTTTATGATGACTTTAAAAAACTTTTGTCGGAGGGTAAAAGCTGTGCAACACTTTCACAATGTAAAAATGAAAGAAATTTCATTTTCTAACGTAAAATTGTTCTTTCAAATTTTTAAATAAAATAAATGTAATTTTTATTCTTTTAAACTCATTAAAAGTAATCAGTCTCGTTGGTTTGCAAAAAATAATCCTTTTTTTTTTTTTTGATTCCTCGTAAAAAATTTTTCGGAGGTACCTAAACACGTACGCAAAATTAAATATTAAGTTCCAATAATTTTAGTTAAAAATAAAATTGTATATATTAAATTTTTTTCTTTTTTTTTTTTTTTTTTAGTGACCGATTTTTTAAAAATATTTTTATTATTGCCACATAATGCCTTTAAATTTAAAATTGTAAAAGATTGTTTTTATTTTACTGCGAACACCTGATAAATAAGACACCCATTATTGTCCTTCATGCAAACAAATGTCATATCTTTAAAAATAAGAACATTAAGATCTTTTTACGATAATATTTTTATTTTCCTACTTATGTAATTGTTCATAAGCAATAGGATATTGCGACATTTTACTAATAATCTCAATTATATTGTCCATGGATGAAATGATTTATTTAACATTGCCCGCGAAGTTTTTAATGTAAACAATTGCCATCATTACTTACTACAAATTATTTAAACTGGATCGAGGATTGTCTGCAAAAAATAACTCCCGAACTAAATACGTGCGATAAAATAAAAACACGTTTTCTTTCAATTTTTTTGTTTTATTCATTAATTACTTTTTTAAGCAGCATTTTTTAAGTAATCAAATCATTCATCATATGAAAATCAGCATACCTGTGTTGTGTAGTTTGAACTGAATTCTAACTTGGAAGTTTCATTGTTGTATCGACTATCGAGTCATGTGTTTTAACTTTTAAGTCAAGGAGATTAATTACATGTTTGTCTTGAGTACTGTAAAATATTTTTAGAGACCCTTTACGGACTTATAAACGTTTGGTAATTCAGTGCTTTCCATATGAAGATTGTTTAGAGCGATAATTAACACTTCAAGCGATTGTTTTTCGTAGTACACTTTTAGTTTTTCTTGTTTGTTTAAGTCAGGTCAGGTCATTGGAATTTTTTTTTTTTTTTTGTAATCAGATCGTTGCTTTTTCGTAGCCACGTACTTAGATTTTAATTAGGTAAAGTGAAAAATTTAAATCCCTCTCATGGCGCTGAAAATCTACAAGTACAAATTTGCGCGTCAGCTGAAAAAAAAATAAAATAAAATGTGGAGCTTCTATTCAAATGTCGAACTTATTAGTAAAGTCTCGACATTCATTACAACGCGACCCATTAAAAATAAATCTATGATTTGAAAATATATAAAAAAAAGTATCCTGTTCTTTGTAATACTAATGAAAATAATTATAATGCCGAGGAAGAGGAGCTTCTACCTACTGAAAATGTCTGTCTGTCCTCTGGAACTTTGTAGAAACAGATATAGAGATATGAAAAGGCAAATAATAAAAAAAAAACTGATGTAATTGTGAAGAATTACGCAGAAAACACATTTTCTATCATGGAATAATGACGGCGTTTAAGCGTGTCGGTCAAAAGACGAAACCTAGTAAATAAATAAATACAAAGATCGTTAAATCGAATTTCTTTTAAAAGAGAAATAAAAAAACATAGTATCTCAAAAAAAGTCAAAATGACCTAGAGAGCAAAAATTTTACGAAAAGCAGAAAATTTGTACGAATGGAAATTTCTCACATCCTTAAGAATTTACCTCCCCTAATTCACTGACAAAAAGTGCATGCCATGAGGAAAAAATATCCAAACTAAACATCATAAAAAACAGTTTTAGCGTCAAAGTGGTTAAGACCAAAGTATTTTTGTTAGAGATTTATATTTTTTAAATCCTTTCTAGCACGTTTGAAATTTTGCTTAAAATTTGTTTTGTTTTTGTTTTTTTCCCCGTCAGCGAGTGGACCAAAGATTCATTATAAATAAAACTAAAAGACATGATTTTAGCGTCTCTTTTGCAGTAAAAAACACACTGATTTGGAAATTCTTGTAAGAATCAAATAATTGTTGGATTTTAATTAAATTTTCAGGACTTATGCACAAATGAATGAAATTATCTGAGAAATTCTTTTTATAAAATCTTGGTAAATCGGTTACCTCCCACAAACACGCACACTTAATTTTATTTTTATGAAATTTCGAGAAATTAAATTTCACTCCCTTAATCAGTGTAACCCGGATATAAGAGAGTTGTCGGGACCGGAAAAGAAGTCTCTTATATCCGGGTTTCTCTTATATCCGGATTTGGTTTATTTTGTTTAGGTAAGTATGGCTCTAATTTGGGACCAGAGAAAATCTCTCTTATATCCGGGTCTCTTATATCCGGGTTACATCGTATATATATATATAAAACGCAGAAATTAAATTATTAATTATTAAACACCATTTACCGAAAATTTGCGCTGAATCATAAAATTAAGATATTAATTAGAAATTGCTTTTATAAATAAGACATAAGTACACTTATTGTCTTAAGAAAAAAACTTTTTCAAGGAATAATAAATTTTTACAAGAATTGTTTTCATTTTTTTTTTAATTTTAACTAGAATAATTTATTAAGTTTTAAAATTCTGTATTAATCTCACCCTTTTAGATGATATAAAAACTATATTTACTAATCAAAAGTTGAAAAGCTAGTACAATTCATCAAATACCAATATTTTTAAAAGAATTTTTTTGTATGTGTATAAACATACTGATTTTTGTAGATATGGTTGTTCATACTCAACATTATCAGAAAATAAGAGTGATCACTGATAACTATAGTAAATTTAAAGCCAAATTACCTAAAATTCAATAAAACATTAGATTACAGAGAATATTTTCATAAATTTTTAAGATTACTGAGTAGTTGAAAATTATATACAAAAGGTGTTCATGTTATATTCTTAAATTTTTTTTTTCAGATAAAGTCCTTGTAGAAGAATATTAGATAAACTTACATCTGTCATCAAGCAGTCAACATCTTAAACAGTTTTTGCCATGTTAGAAAAATGCATTTCTGTGATATTTTAAACTTAAATAATATTTGTTTCAAAGAATATTAATTATACTTTAAATTAACTAATATTGTTCAAATAAACTTTCAGAAAAGTTTTTTTTTTTTTGACGATGTTTTTAATAAAGAGAATTACATAGATGTGGATTAAAAATGGTGTTGAAATCAGATTTTGTAGCAAAATGTGTTCAGACAATTGAAATTAGTTTTAAAATGGAGCAAAGTACTTTGCTTATTAGAAATATTAAATTTAATTTATTGACTTAAAATTAAAACTAAAATAAAAGCTTCAAGAAAGATTTTTCATTTTAAAAAATTCATTTTAAACTTTAGGTATCATGAGTCTGTTGAGATACCTACTTAAGATTTATATTATCGATGGGAGTTTTTCCTGGAAATACTTTTAAGTTTTGTATAGGTACATCCAAAAACAGAAATACAAAAAAGAATTTAATATTTCCAATAAGCAAAATACTTCAGTTTATTTTAAACTGAATTTAAATTGTTTAGAATCTTTTTCTTTCTCCTTATCAGTAAAATTTATAAACTCGTCCATATTAACAGATTTGTCAACACAAGATTCTCTTGATTAAAAAAATCTTTCAAGAATAAAATACGCTTTTCTGAAACTTTGAAAAAAGCTGATTTAAAGTTTAATTAATGTGATTTGAAACAAATAGGAATCATCTTTAGTTTAAAATATTGTAGAAAAGCATTGTTTTTTAAGAGGGCTTGTTTTTGACATGGTGAATGATTTATTGACAGCCTGATGTTTAGGAATTATAACAACTATTGTAGGACAAAGGTTGTTCTTAATTTTTGTAAGCAACTAATTTTCTTAATGTAATGCATTGCAGCTTGGAATTAGAAATTGGAAAATCAAGTTTGAAATCTTTTCATGTTTGTTACATTCACTTACATGCAAATACCCTTGGGAGAAGGGGTATGAATTTATTCCCTCCTCTTTCCCCACAGGTTATGAGTTGAATAGCAGGATAGTTATCTTGGTTGGCAACCAGTCTAGAAGAATGAAAATCCCTGAATTCAAACCAACTTGGAAATTGGGCTCCATCAGGTTATCTTGCCACAAAACACATCACTACTGCTACAGCTGCAATACATGTGAAACCCCTAAAACCCTATTGGGTTAGAGAATTCATGATTGTGAATTTTTTTAGCTTAGTTGTAGGATTGCAGAAAAAGAAAAGTTAAACTTATGACATTTTTGTTGAATTTTGAAGCTTAATTTGAAATGTTGGTTAGAGAACAAGAGGTTGAGGAACAGAGGAAATTTTTCTCTTCATTAGACTAGGAATGTGTTTCATCTGATGACCTTTGACTGCATGAAAAGTAGAACAGAGCCCAAGTATAATTTCTGATTTTTGCTTCTACTGAACATTATGATTAACTAGTCGGCATTTATACATTTTCATGGTTAAAACCACATAATTCTGATGTGTACTGAAATTATTTTTTTTGCTTTCATTTGGCCATATGTAACGCTGATGTGTTCATGTGATACTGTTGAATATAAAAAATCGCTTTAGAATATATACAAGGATAATTTTTATAAATTCAGTGTCCTAAAAAGAAAACGACTTAATAAAAGTGGTCTCAACTTCAAAATTATCTCCCTTCCAGTATCATGTTCCAGCCGGTTCCAGATTTCTTCTCAAAAGAAATCTTCAATCTGGGAATTCTGTGGACCCCGGTTAGAAAAGGCTGAAACTAATCTTGTGTAAACCTGTGTGAAGCTACTTGAAATCAAACCTTGTGTCAAACTTAAATACTTTTAGAAATCCTAACATGACTGAGTTTCCCCTTGTCAAAATGTAAATAAATAAATATATCCCTCCCTATTGTGTTCATAATTGGCAAAATATTATCAAACTTCTGTACTTCATAGTACATCTCAAAGGCAATGAAAATTGACAACTTCTATCGCTTGTCAGATAACATGAGACAGGTCTGATACCAGAGATGACCAGGATCACTAACCTTCATTAACCATTGTAACATGCCAGTATCAATAGATTTGTTAAGATATCTGGTGATGGGACAGTGCAGAGAGTGGTGGTTTCATGCCTTTGATTGAAAATGGAATTTGATTATCCATTTATCTTTTCTATTGGAACAATTTTTCTCACCAGAATCTATCTTACACTTTTATAAATCTGCCATTCATCGTTGCTTTTATGGCCGCATATTGACATATATAAATTCTGTTTGTCAACAATGCAAGAGAACTTAAAATCCTTTCTGGTTTTAAGAGACATTGCAGAGTATATGAGCATGAAGCTACAGCAAATGCATAGTTATAGTGCAGAGAGGACCATCCTCATAATCAAGAGGGTGGCTGCCATATTTATGTGTATGGACTGAAGAGCACTTGAGCAGTGAAACTGACAATTATTATGCAGTATTAATTCTTATGTCTACATTGTCCAGTCTACATCTGCAAGCACTATCTTTGATACTGAGTATACTCATTCTTCCATAAATATACCAAATTTGAAATTTATATATATATATATATATATATATATATATATATATATATAGTTGATAAGATGACATATTTTCGTCTGCTGAAATAAGCTTATTCCCAATAGGAGGTGATTTTAGATTTTATTAAGTATTAATTATTTGCTTTGTATTAATAAATACATTGAGCTCTTTAATATTTTATATTACTAGGATCTACTTGGATTATATACCAGCAGATTTATTACCTTTACTATATATATATATATATATTGTGTGTATTTAGGCAGCATTTTTTCATTGATGCATGTTTCATTAAATAATATAGACAAGTGTTGTCTATTTATTTTATGTAAATTATTTTCATATCTAATAAGCTTAATAACATTATCATTGAAAGACAAAAGAAAATCACAATATTGATACATATTTTTTAATCCTATCTAAGCTTTCAGTTTACATAAGCCATTATCAAAGATGACAATTGCATTACAATATATTAAACAATACCTGGACAAAACAATAATGATAGTCTGGAATGTCCTGTTTGTTGCTGGATAAACTAAAGGATATCACTACCCCAGACCAGTTGGAGGAAATTACGCATAGACTCACGAAAATTACTCTCGCATGGTCATGTGTGACGTCATGAGCTGCTGTGCAATTTTCGCTTCCAGCGTTTTGTATGCACGAGTTTGTCGTTGCTTGGAAATCTTCCATGTAAACATAAACAGACTATCATTATTGTTTTGTCCGTGTATTATTTAATATATTGTAATTTCATTGACATCTTTGATAATGGCTTATGTAAGCCGAAAGCTTGGATAGGATTAAAAAAAATGTATCAATATTGTAATTTTCTTTCGTCTTTCAATGATAATGTTATTAAGCTTATCAGATGATATGAAAAGAATTTACATAAAATAAATAGATGACACTTGTCTATATTATTTAATGAAACATGCATCAATATATATATGTGTGTGTGTGTTTCAAGCCATAAAATCATTTCCTTGGCTAAAGAGTTACCTTAGAGACCAATTTCATTTATGAGTGGGCAATTAATTTGATGATATTGAATTAATGAAACACCAGTTATCTGTAGAAAGCAAACCATCTTTTCAAGTTATTCTTTCTTCCAATTTTCAATGTTTTTAATAAGTTGGAATAGAATAGGATTTCTCATGTGCTATTGATACAGTCATACATATTGCACACTGATTTAACACTTATTGTTTTTTTGCATATGTTTGTGAAATTCTGATATTTTATATTTGTGTCTTTAACTTTTAAGTCTCTGCATTATTAATATTACTTCTCTTTCCACAGTATTCTTTTTCAAAGGCTCTCAATTGCAGTATCCTTATTGTTAATTTTACTCAAAGTTGTTTTCTGTTGCCATAGCAGGATATGACAACACCACTATGAAATTCAAACACACTATTGTTCAGGGATAAAAGTCAACTTCAATGGCAGGATAAGCTTTTTGCACAGTCACATAGAGTGATAAGGATTAAAATCCACCTGAAAGAAGGACGGATAATTCTGATATCAGCCAGTAAATGTTATTACAAATTGCTTTTCTTTTCATTTAGAACTTACTCCAATCACATTATCATATGCAATCATTTTCAACTTACCCCATTCAGTAATTTTGATTTCTATGTAGTCTAGAATGCACATGTGAAGTTATTTAAAATGCAAGAGTCAGGAAGAACACATAGTTATTTAAAAGATTTTTCATCCAATTTTCTAGGTGGGGAGGGACTCCAAGAACAACTTTTTCAGAAAAATATATATATATATATATATATATATATATATATATATATATATATGTCTGTCTGTGTGTGTGTATATATATGTCTATGTATGTGTGTGTGTATATATATGTCTATGTGTGTGTGTGTGTGTATATATATGTCTATGTCTGTGTGTGTGTGTGTGTGTATATATATGTCTATGTCTGTGTGTGTGTGTATATATGTCTATGTCTGTGTGTGTGTGTGTGTGTGTATATATATGTCTGTATGTGTGTGTGTGTGTGTATATATATGTCTGTATGTGTGTGTGTGTGTATATATGTCTGTATGTGTGTGTGTGTGTATATATATGTCTGTGTGTGTGTGTGTGTATATATATGTCTATGTATGTGTGTGTGTGTGTGTGTATATATGTCTATGTCTGTGTGTGTGTGTGTATATATATGTCTATGTGTGTGTGTGTGTGTGTGTGTGTATATATATGTCTATGTCTGTATGTGTGTGTGTGTGTGTATATATGTCTATGTCTGTGTGTGTGTGTGTGTATATATATGTCTATGTCTGTGTGTGTGTGTATATATATGTCTATGTCTGTGTGTGTGTGTATATATGTCTCTATGTGTGTGTGTGTGTGTATATCTATGTCTATGTGTGTGTGTATATATATGTCTATGTCTGTGTGTGTGTGTGTGTATATCTATGTCTGTATGTGTGTGTGTGTATATATATGTCTATGTCTGTGTGTGTGTGTGTATATATATATGTCTATGTCTGTATGTGTGTGTGTGTATATATATGTCTATGTCTGTATGTGTGTGTGTGTGTATATATATGTCTATGTCTGTATGTGTGTGTGTATATATATGTCTATGTCAGTATGTGTGTGTGTGTATATATGTCTATGTCTGTGTGTGTGTGTATATATATGTCTATGTCTGTATGTATATATATGTCTATGTCTGTATGTGTGTGTGTGTGTATATATATGTCTGTATGTGTATGTGTGTGTATATATATATATGTCTGTGTGTGTGTTATGTGATGGCTGATTACTCTTGCTTGGAGGACGTAGGGGGGATTATCATCATCCGGAAATTAATAATTATTAGTGAAAAGAAAGAATAACTCCTTTTGATTACATTGGTCATCTCTTTAACTCTATTCACTATCTTGATTTCAGATCCATTTTCTTAATTGTCTGACATATCCTGGATTTTTATTTAAAAATGAAAGAAAAATAATAAAATGAATTCTTTCCCTTTATTTATATCAAAACATCGTTGTTCTTAAACGATTGCTCGTAGCAAATAAAAACAAGGGCGAGTAACTCTGACTTATAGCAAACCTTTTAGTCTGGTTACAATATGACTTTAGATCAAAACTTATGTACACTACAGTTCAAAAGTTTGGGAAATCCTCTCGTAATTTTCTAAATTGGCCCAAAAGGTTTTGTAATTTAAATAAGAGAAAATTATTATACATGGTTAAAAAAAATTATGACATAATTTTTTATTAGAAATTTTATGACAAAAAGAAAAAAAGCATTTTATGCTTTAATTTTGCTCTCATCAAAATATCCTCCTTTAGCCTTGATTACTGCAGCACAAATTTTTGGCATTCGTTGCAAAAGTTTCTTGATAATTGATTCCATTCTTTTTCTTTTCCTGTGGATTTCTTACATTTAATATATGTGCAAAGTTTTTGTATTGGTGGTAGATCATTTTTTTTTCTTTATTTGCTTTTTTCTGCAGTTTTCCAATCAAACAACTGATCTCTGCCTTTTCTTTTTCTAGTGTACCACTGGGCTGATGTGAATGTAAAAATGCGAGTGATGGGCCTTGGAAAAGCCAAAGATGTCCAGAAATTGAATGAGCAGATGGCCATTGATCTTGGCGCTGAGCTGCTTGGTGAAACCATTATCTTCTTCATTGCTGCAACAACTTTGTATGTGGAATACCAGAGATCTTCAATGAAAGATCAACTTAAGGAAGAAGAGAAAAAACAAAAAATTCGGATCCTTGAAAACCGGATTCAAGAATTGGACATTGTAACAGAGCAGCAAGAAGCTCGCATCAGAGAATTAAACCGTCTCGTTCAAGAAGTTCGATCTATAAGATATCAACTCGATAAATCAGAGACCGCTTCATCCAATTCTGGGTCTTGGTTTGGACGAAAAGGTTGAAGAGAATAGATTCTTAGGAAATTGGTTTGCTTTTGTACAAAGGAGAAAAATAAGGAGAGACAAAAATATGAGTAGTTTTTTTCTTTTTGTTATTTTCACTTTAAAAAATCACTGGATATGAAGAACGTGTTGCTTTTGTTGGTTTCATTTCTTTTTTTTTTTTCTTTTGTTATTTCAGGAATTCAAAAACCAAAAATTTAAGTGTAACAAATTTTGTTCAACTTTGTTTTCTAAAAATATTTAATTCCTAACTTTTTTCCATCTTCAAAACAAAGCTTGAAAAAGGCGAAATGTAAGTAAAAAAAAATCATTTTATTTTACATTTTCAAATTTTTAATAGAAAAATGAGAAAATTATGTAATCAGGAGCTTTTGTAGTTTTACTCCCTTATTTTTTTTCCTAGATTTGATAAATTTTTGCAATTTTATAAATTCAAAGCATTATTATTCTATTTCCAATTTATTGACATTAGCCAAATTCTAATTAATGTAGGTTAGGAAAAGTATGCTTTAACATATTTTAGTCCTGAGAATAATTGAAAAATTTTCTTACCTAAAATTGTAACTGCTTTATTTTGAAGCTTTTGACAATTTTGTTTTTATTTTTATTTTTCAAATTGCTTTATAAAACTGGAGCTGATGAAATTTAGTCTTAAGTAATCATCATTATATACCTCGTTATTTGAACCAGTATCTTCATCTTAGTTGTTTTTGCTCACAGCATTTCAACCTTTGTGCCCTCTCGCCTTCTTCAGATGTTTGCGAAATCTTGCCAGACATTCTAAGCAAGCCCTCCTTAGAAGTAGGTTGGCCTCAATCTGCCATCCATGGGTTGAATAAATGGTTCAGTCCACAATTCAGACAAGGGAGGTTACTGAGTACAATGACAGGCACCTGAAGGAAGCTGGAGAGTACATTAAGAAAAACGCTGACATTATAACAACTGAGATGAACATGCCAGTTCAAATAGCAAGGCATATAATCCAAAAGACACTTGAATTGCATACAATGTATGCAATTCTCTTATTTAATAGAAACTCTAGCATGATGGAAGTATAACAATATATGTGGCTATATTACATTCTTGATAATATTTTTAAGTATTTGTATCAGATAAAAATTTATTACTGATTGATTTATCTGTCTATATTTCTGAGATCAGGTATTATGTTCACTATTTACATTATTCGGACTATTGTCCTCCTCTTGGTCACCATATTTATTAACATTTCAGTCGTTGTACGCTCAGGCCTTCTTCAGGTGATTGGAATATCAAACTGAACCCTTTATTTTGCTCACTGCGGTAGACTATTCTAGTTCCACATGCCATGTTTAATGGATGTCAGTTATCAGTTATCTCCTGTTAATTCCCTTCTCCAAGTTCTCCACTGCCTTAACCGGGTATTGAACTTACACTCTTTGGGTCCTATCACTTTATCCACTGTTCCAAGGACACATGGCACAGTGGATAAAAGACCCAAAGAGTGTGAGTTCAGTACCCAGTTAAGGCAGTGCAGAACTTGGAGAGGGGAATTAGCAGGAGATAACTGATAACTGACATCCATTAAACATGGCACGTGGAACTAGAATAGTCTACCCCAGTGAGTGAAATAAATGGTTCAGTTCGACATTCTAATCACCTGAAGAAGGCTGGAGCATACAACAGCCGAAACGCTGTAATAAATATGGCGACAAAGATGAGGACAATAGTCCGAATAATGTAAATAGTGATTGATTTATTTTAAAATTTCTAGCCACTACAATATCAACAACACAAGGCTGTCAAAAGTTTCAAATTTGCTATATGAAGCAATAAAAAAAAAAGAAAAACTTTTGGATCATAAACTTCATTTCAGTTTTTTTTTTCCTTAGTTCAAACTTATTGTAAAAAAAAATTGAATATTTAAAGAAAATATTTTCTTAATCCTTTGACTCTTTACATTTGCTGAAATATAATTCTGAATTCTGAATATCTTTTCTTTTATATTTCCTAATCTAAAATTATGTAAGTATTATTCTTTGTAAATGTTGTTCTTATTGTTAATTTATTTGATTTGATCTGTGGTACACAAAAAGGAAAAGATTTTCACTATTTATCTCATTCTTAGATTTGTAAAATACAGTGAAAATATTCACTTTCTTGCTTTTTTTTCTTTTGCATGGCTCTACTCATCCCGCCAAAAAGATCATGTGCACAAGAATAAATATGTCCATCATATCAATGGAGTGAATTTAGTTTCAGTGTTAATCCTTATTAAAAGGTTAAGACATTGGCAGACAATTTCTCAAAGCCTGTGAGATAAGAAGAATGACATTTTACTGTGCAACTGGAAATGGCATTTGATTTCAATGATGTATACATTTTCTGAAGTGTGTTATTTATCACTCTTTCTTGTTTTATGCATTTTTGCAACATGCAGAGAAACAAAAGCATCGAAAGTATTGATGCCTGCTTCAGTTCTGCTTGTTTTGTACTTTCAGTTTCATGTTTCATTCTCAAGCAGAGCTGTTGCTTCACAGGGAAGGAAATTTAAGCTAAGGAGAAATTTCAGTCATACGTATAATTTATGCATGTAAGGGTGTAAAAAATGATCAGTGAATAGTTCTCAAATAGCAGAGGTATTGAGGAAACCTGGGATCACAAGGGGAGTAACATGACCTAGGACTCAGAAAGTCATTGATTTTGGTTTGGTATCCATGCTTATTCAATGTGTAAGTTATGGGTTGGCCATATTGTTTTATCTAAGTGTTGTTTCTTTCTGGATACAAAAATGAAAAGGTCTCTTGAATACTAGTCATGAGAAATCCTCTCATTCTCACCTAACTGATTCTGTGTTACTAATTTTCATCCTTATTTACACTATTTAAAAACGGACTATTGTCCTCATCTTTGTTGCTATCACAATGTTTCAGCTGCTGTACCATCTGCTCATCATCAGGTGTATGTCAATTCGGGTAATCTACAGGGATTTCTGCCCTGAACAATTTATTCAATCTACAAGACTAGACTGTTCTTGTTCCACTGCCTATGACTGGGGATATCTCTACAGAGAATTGCTCCATGAGCCAATAGCCTAGTGAGTTAAAGCATTGGTTTCTGAATTTGGTCTGATTTGGTGCTACTAACGAATGTAACTTGTCTGAACATCTGTCATAGTAATAGCAATAAAGTAATGAAAGACTGGCAACATTTTGTCTGTGGGTTGCAAGGTGGAGAAGAATTCACAAACCAACGCCTTCAGCCACTAGGCCACTAGGCTATTGTCCCATATCATTAGCCTTGGATTGGATTAAAGCCTTGGTACGTTAATTTGGTGACATAAAAAGTATAAGTTCAATCCCTAGGCTGGGCAGTATGTACTTGAACTCAGTGGAAACAGTGCAAGCAATAACTGAGCAGTTCTAAAAATAAGAACTAGACAAGATATCCCTAGATACGGGCAGTGGATCAGGAACAGTTTACCTCTATAGATTAAATAAAGGGTTCATTTCAGGAATACCTGTAAGTTATCTGGATCAAAAAATACCTGGTGATAATTAGTGGGCATAACGGCCGAAATGTTGTGATTTCTTGGTTTCCAGAGTCTTTCAGTTACTCTTATGTATATTTTTGCTGTAAACTTTGGCTGGTGGAGAAAATAGTTATAATCACCTTTTCCAGATCAAGACAAATTGCTAAATAAATGCTCTGAACTCATCTCAAAATGCAGACATGAAAACAAATTTTTACTACATTACTTCAAAATCAAAACTAAAAAATGAATACCTTGTAAAACACCACCATGAAAAATCAAAGTGTACGCACTATATATCCACTTGTAAATAGTGTAAATAATGATAACTCCTCATCCCAGAAATTCAGACAGTAATTTTGTCCCTCACATTGATCTTAAGCATTTACTCTCAAAGAGCATAAAAAATTAAGTTTTTATGTAGAATCTAATTTGCTGACTTTATTTCAGCCCAATTTAAAAAAAAATCTATTTCCTTCTCTCTGAAAAATTTCCACCTCTTTTAACTGTAGTTTTGAAATGTTTTTCATTGTTTCGCTCATGTTTTAAGTGAACTCTGCAGCCTTCTTCAGATATATGTTGCACTAGTCAAAAACATAAAATTGTATATAGCAGATAAATTGTTGTCACTTGGATCAGTAAAAAAAGGAGAATTGTTTAAACAATTGAATATTACAAGATGTAGCCTAAAGCTGACAAAGATTGGAACATCCACTATCTGAAATATAATGAAAGTACCAAATCAGAGAATTCTGGTTTGAAATCTCTAAACCAGAAATTATATTTTTATTCTATTGGGTTGGTGCATAATTATCAAGCGTTTTTTAAACAATATTTATTATGAAAAAAGAAACATAACAATTCAGCAATAACATTTTTAAATGGTTATTCTGGAGTGTCTGATTATCAACATGCATTTTTATAACCTGAAAATAAATTAATATTTTTATTAAAAAAGTAAACAAAACAGCAATTTTTATTAACAAATAACTTGCCTGCAAAAACGCCTGATAATTATGCACCAACCCAATATTTTAGTGAATATAAGGAATTTAAAAAAAAAAATATTCTGTTATTAATTCTTTTGGACTAATTTCTTTATCTTTTTGCCACCCTCAGCAGGTATGTTCTGTTATAACCTTCTTCTTTAATTGGTAGTAAACTTTTACATTTGCGTGGACAGATTTAATAGCAATAACAATTTCAGATGTAAAATGTCTAACAGAATAAAAATGCATCTTTGAAAAATGGGATAGATAGAACTACAGTAAGGTTCTTTGAGTTTTCTTGAGATCTTTTTATTGTTGTATTTAGTTTGCTAAGTAAATTAGTAAGAACCAATGTACATACTAAGATTTAACTGCAATAAGGAATTTTTAACCATATATACAAAGATAGTTTAAAGTAAGTCATAATAAAGCCTTTTCTAACAATGTTAAAGTCACATATTTGATATACTTCATAGTTAGT